GGAGGGGGTGGGGAGGGGCAGTACACGCTGTCCCAGTTCAGGTGTGGGATGGGAGGGGGTGGGGAGGGGCAGTACACGCTGTCCCAGTGCAGGTGTGGGATGGGAGGGGGTGGGGAGGGGCAGTACACGCTGTCCCAGTGCAGGTGTGGGATGGGAGGGGGTGGGGAGGGGAGGGGCAGTACACGCTGTCCCAGTTCAGGTGTGGGACGGGAGGGGGTGGGGAGGGGCAGTACACGCTGTCCCAGTTCAGGTGTGGGACGGGAGGGGGTGGAGAGGGGCAGTACACGCTGTCCCAGTTCAGGTGTGGGATGGGAGGGGGTGGGGAGGGAAGGGGCAGTACACGCTGTCCCAGTTCAGGTGTGGGATGGGAGGGGGTGGGGAGGGGAGGGGCAGTACACGCTGTCCCAGTTCAGGTGTGGGATGGGAGGGGGTGGGGTGGGGTAGGTACCCACTAGCGCTGGGACGAGGGGGGTTGGACTCAGTTATAACAATAACCCAATATATGGTGACCCGTCAAAAGAGCGCACGACAAAAGAGCGCCGTCATAAGAGCGCAGACAAAAGAGCGCCGACATAATAGCGCCGACAAAAAAGCGCAGACAAAAGAGCGCCGACATAAGAGCGCAGTCAATTAAATAAACCGGTAGTGATCTCCCCTAAACTTTCTCGAATATTCTTATATAAAACAACAGGGGATGGTAACTGGGGATATAGTTATGACTTTTAATCCATTTTAAATACTTAAACTTTTAAAAATAGAATAGAATCTCATAAAAAAAAACATTGCGCACCAAGCAAACGCCGAATAAAAACGCGTATAATAGTGCGCAATATTATTAGTACTTTAAAAATTTACATTAGTTTTTTGAGAAATCGGAAGTAGCGTAAATTACTACTTCCAGTCAACGGAAATTACTCAAAATTTAACAGAAGGTAGAGAATTAGATCTTTTACTTACATGTGAAATTTCATTTATCTATCTGAAATAGTACTCAAGTTATAGGCTTTTGAAAAATTCAAAGTAGGAAAAGTACCACTTCCGGTTATCAGAAATCGCTCAAAAGTTGATACGGATCTACGATTTTGATAAAATACTTATATATAAAATTTCATCAACCTAGCTGTAACGGTACTCAAGTTATCGTGTTTACACACGGACAGACAGACACACAGACACACACACACACAGACATACGGACAGAATTGCAAAGCCCAGCTTTTCAGACTGGATTACGCATAAAACCTCTTAATTTTGATAAATCTGGATTGATAATTTTTGCCCGATTAAAATAAGTCCTCTATACTTCGGATGTGATGAAGGACTGAGGTGTAACACGGTGAAAATTGTTAAAATTTCAAGTGATTTTTGTGCACGATTACAATACTTTCTCTATACTTCGTATATACGAGAAAGTAAAAAACACATGTTGTACGCTAAACGAATATGACATGGTTAACACTTGTTTTAATTAAACAATCGGCGAAAGAACAACGTCTTTATTTATATATTATGGTTAATATGTTATGAATGTAGTTTGACAATATTTCTAACCCAAGTAACATGGAGAAGATCGAATCACAGAAAGGGAAGGTTATTATGTTGGTCGAAGGCTACAGATGTGGAAAGGACAGAGCAAATGCTGATGGAAGTACGACATGGAGATGCTGCAAGAAAGATGGCTGCCGAGGACGGATAAAATGCTGATCGATGTTGTTCTGTCATCATCAGATCACAATAACGCAGCTGCCATACCCAAATCCGCAGAACGTTGCATAGATAACAATTCTTGAACCTCTTCAAACGACAACTAGAAGCTTCAAAGAACAAATATGTTCAGCTGAACCGAAGATTGCAGGGGATTGCTTCAACCAATGCTAATGATTCAATGATGGACTAACTACGATGTATAGCCCACAACTTAGCAATATAAATGCAACTATAAAGAAACGTTGTATTAATTTTAAATTATTTTCAATTTATTTTTTAAATTATTTTCATTTTGTTACATTTCATTTCCGTTTATATTCTCACTAGGCCTAACATTTAAAATCTTTGTATGAGTTATTAGATTGCGTTTTGAATAATTGGACTCTACGTTGGTTGTACCAGTTTTTTTAGTTAAAGAAACTGAACAATTAGTTTTTTAATGAAACAATAAAGAGTTAACACCAAACGATGCCTTCTGATCTGAGTTAATTTTCTTGTTTTTATTTATTAAATATGGTTTTTCGATTTTTAGTTTGCGCTCTTATGTCGGCGCTCTTTTGTCGTGCGCTCTTTTGACGGGGTGCCCCCAATATATATTTATTTTACTGATTTAACAATGTATAATTAATTATAATTCAACGAAATATATATTTATAACATGCTGACAGATGGTTCTATATTGAAAACATGGATTTATCACACACACACACACACACACAAACACACACACACACACACAGAGACACAATATATATATATATATATATATATATATATATATATATATATATATATATATATATATATATATATATATATATATATATATATATATATATATATATATATATATATATATATATATATATATATATATATGTAACTAGTGTACGTTACTAGGGACGATAAGAACGCAATACAGTCTGTCAACTAAAGACTATGGTATGGTTAACAACGTATTACAGTCTGATGCAATAGTGCAGATGGTAGACTGATAAAGAACACAAAGCCAAGGCGTATTTTGGGAAGCGATACGATAGAGCTGCGCAGTTCAACAGGCTGATGCAACGAGTGGAAACTATTACATGTACGTGGGATATATAAGACGACGTATTGGAGTTGAGAACCCGGCAGTATCAAGTAGGAGACTGAACTGTGTAGACGTGTGGTTAGTTGTGAGAATAGGAACGCGGGACACGTGCATTCTGATATGTGAGGACTAGTGAGGACAGCGGGGGTCAGTTGGTTCATTGTATTTTTGTGGAACATTGATGCATTGTTATGTGGAGCATTTCTATTGATTCATGTAATAAAGAGATCAATGTAAACCTGCATTTCCGAGTATCTGTATTGTGGTCGATGTTGTGTGCTGGTCAAAGGTAGCACGAGTAAATACACTCGGTAACATTTGGCGCTGTCAGCAGTGAAATCGGTAACATTTGGCACTACAAGTAAATAGACTTGGTAACATATATATATATATATATATATATATATATATATATATATATATATATATATATATATATATATATATATATATATATATATATATATATATATATTATTTCTTTCTATTAAACTGTGTGTGTCAATTATTGTGGAACAATCAGTATTGTAATAGCTCAGCTTGTATTTTACAAAACCATTAGTCCATCAAGGTACACATTTTTTTGCGTATTTTGCCCCCCCCCCACCCTCTACCCACTCCCCTCCCGCATTGCGGATTCTGGCGGTATAAAAGTTCCAACACTGATGTGTGGATATATACAGCCTGAAGCGATCTAGACGAACCAGTAACATATGTTTATAATTATGTTAGAACAATAATCGTAACGTTGTAATACAATCGCGTAATGGCTTAGTATTGTAAAAGCAGCAGTGGTAATTCAAGGCATCTTCCAGGCATCTCTCCGGGGGGGGGGGGGGGGGGGGAAGGGGGCGGAGTCCCCCGATGAGTCTACCCCCCCCCCCCCCCCTCCGAACGAAATGGAATTTAAATAGAAAATATATACTTTTAACAGTGTCCGCCACCCCCCCCCCCCCCCCCAAAAAAAAAATTATAGTCATCCCCCCACCCCGAAAATTTCAAGGTCACTTGATCACACTGATATCACAAGTTGGCCAGTTTGAGGAAATTAAAAAATTGTTGTATAAGACGCCAACCACATTAATAATAGTTGTTTGACTAAGTCCACATCATGACACTGCAGGTTATCCTGTCATAAACAAAACCACAGAGAGTTGGCTATCAGCTTTTACAATCTGAAGTTGACATCTTCAACTTTTCGAGCTCTGTTATTTCGCTCCCCATACGCCACACTATTTGATACAATGTAATCCTCTAATAAGCTCATCGTTGATATAATATGTCAGCCATTTTGAAAATGTCTTAAAAACCTAATATCATTATCTAGAGACTTTCAAACGATGGATATTTAATTTATTTTCAGTTGGTAATATTATTTATTTATTTAATATTTACATTTTTCGGGCAAACGGCCTTCGGGCATGTGGCTTTCGGGCATTTGTCGCATTCTGGCAAGTGTCCATTCGGGCATTTGTCGCATTCGGGCAAGTGTCCATTCGTTCATTTGTCGCATTCGGGCAAGTGTCCATTCGGGCAAACGGCCTTTCGGGCAAGTGTCTTTCGGGAATTTGTCGTAGACCCATATATACATGCATTCTAACTCTAAATAATGTACACCACAATAATAAAACACACACCTTAGAAATATACTTACCCAAAAAAATAACATCAGAGAGACAGACTGACAGATGGACAGACAGACATATAGACAAAAATGCAATTCGTTTTATTTACAGATATCAGTACATTTTCAATTCCCCCACACAATTTCTCGCACACGCAATTAAAATACTTACTCTATTCTCTTCATGCCATAAAGTAAAAACCAACAAATTGTGTGCACTAGATATGTGCACATTTAAAACTACCTCATCAGTCTTTAGGTACACCTCTCATGTGAGCAATACATTTACTAGTTGTATATGTAATTTCAGAGTCTTTTTTCATAAACATAAAATAAGTCTGCGTTTTTATTTTAAAAAAAAATAATAATTTTTTTTATGAGAGAAAAAAATAAAATCAAGATGTTTTGTTTTCTTCCTTGTTGTCGATCAACTCTAATCATGTAATCACGACTGGATAAAAAACAGGAAGCGCTGTGTGATAATGTTTTAAAATAAAAACACTAATTTTAGTTTAAACACGACTTTTCGCATTCTGCAGCCTAGATTTAAATTTTAAATATTTAGAGGTTGCTATAAAAAGAGATCAAATTTGACGTCCATTTCACAGTTCTTACGCTGACAGATACAGAGTCACTAAAAACATCATAGTCAAGAATGTCCGTGAAACTGTTAACCATCACCCTGTTGGTCTTTGTGGTGTGTGTACATGCTGGCAAAAAAAGTATTGTCAAACGGGGTGAGTTGATTTATGTATGTAATACTTAAAATGGCTATTGCATTAAATAAAATTATCCGATTAGCATATACAGGATAATATGTAATTTCAAATTTAATTTCAAAGTTCCTAAACGTTGAACGTTATATAGGATGATTCTACTAATATTCAATGAAATTACAAAAAGTTAGTACACATTTGCTCTACCATTCGACCACGCTGTCCCATATATCTGTCAGTCAAACAAACCAGTTTTCGGGTTGAAACTGTAAATTTTGAATCTTCGACAACTCCTCGTTCATGGTCTTCAACAACTATTCTTCAGTCACAAATACATGTTGACTAAGAATTTGCGTTTAATTTTTTTGTTGTTACACATTGAAGTTACATTTTCAAGTTCTAACCGGATTTTAATATGCAGTTCAATGCTTTGAATACTAACCTTATCAACAGCCTGCCCAGCCAATACGTTCACATGTAGAGACAACAGTGGATGTACTCTTAGCGTATATGTTTGCGATACTGAGAGAGATTGTCCAGATGGTTCTGATGAATTTGGTTGCCGTGAGTTGATTTCAATTATGTCCATCTACTATTCTTTTAATCAACCCCATTCATACATCCTTGCATACATGCATCCATACTAAGACATATAGTTTCATTCGTACATATGTACTAACGTACATACATACATACGTGCATACTAATACCTGATGGCTTTGAATTGTTGATGACAGCGACTGACTGTAGCCACCCCCACCAGTTCAAATGTTCCAATGGCAAGTGTATCCCACATATCTACGTGTGCGATGGCGACAATGATTGTGGCGACCAAAGCGATGAACGTTGTCGTAAGTCTTCACAATATCTGTACATGAACATGTCATTGTTAATAAGTATGCGTTGTTGTTTTTTACATCACATATAATATCATACACTATGTTTTATTATTTTTCTGCCCATAAAACTTGTATGGACATTTTTCGTTCCACTTTCAGAAATGTTCAAGGTTTAATCAGATAAATTGGATTATTTTTAATGCCAAAACATGTAGATTGGCATTTTGTGCATTCAAAAGTCATGCTTTGATTTCGTATGATTATTGATGCTTTTTCTAGTCGTGTGAGACTTCCACAGCCCCTCTGAACATTTAATTTACAGTTGTTTATTTTTCCCCGTTTATAAAAGATAATATTTTATGCGTTTATAACATATCATATTTGTTGGAATTAAAAAATAACAACCGGCTTCCACAGTTGCGTGCATATAAAAACAAATGAAATCTAAAAAGAATGTATTTATTTCCAACGTAAAGAAGGCCCATACACTAATAAAAAGATAAATCTAGACGTTCATATATCTGTTTATCTGTGTGCAATATGGCTGTTCTATTTATTATACATAAAATGTATCCTGCTAGATATGAACAGCCAGCTTACATGAAAGTTTACGCCTACATTTCCGACACAGATCTAACACCCAAACTGGCATAGATGAGTCTTTAAATATTAGTCTCAGCTGGCTATTTTGAAATCTATGTAGAGTTAAATGTGGCAGTTGTTTTCAAAAAGTTGCTCTCTTGGGGATTGTTGGGATTGGAGGGGTTCAGAGAGATAGATGGTGTGTGCACACCTATGTCAAGTTATATTGCTTTTATACATTGTATTAACTGTTTTCAGTTAAATTATACGATTCGTTTGTATTTTGCCTGTTTACAATGTTTTATGGTGATGTGTACTCATAGTTGTAGCAACCCATTCCACCCCAGTCATTCATTGAAGTTGGTGAAAAAACGCCTCACCCCCCCCCCCCCCCTCCCAATTGGAAAGGTTGGTGGCGCTTTTTACCAGTCTCTATCCCGTAAAATAATAATATGTTGGTGCGGCGCATCACAAATGATGAACAAACCAGTTACATCAGTAAGGAAGCCTTCTAGCTTCACTGAGTGTAATTCAACATCGTAGCTTAAAGTGAGCTTCTTATTTATTTTCTACCCATTTCAGCGCCCCCTTAGGTTGGGACTTGGGGGCGAACGGGCCGGCTGCTACACCCGCCCTCCCTTAGTTACGCCACTGTGAGTACTTGGAAGATCACCATGCCCTTGGTTTTGATTTCAGACAAAACATGCGCTATCTTTCTCTAATCTAATTTTAGCTTTCGTTTTTTTCAGCCTCAGGTTAACTATCGAAGGTCATTACCTATTGTTGGGCATAGCGAGACTGCAATTATGTACATGCTGATCTTATCAGTATGACCCAGGAATATTTTTTGTTGTTGTTTTTTTTTCTTCTCCTGTTTAACAGTTACTATCTGTTAATAAAAAAAAATGTTTCACAAAATTTTATGTTTGTTTTTTTTTTAACTTTAATAGATCATAATTTTTTAAAATTTAAACAATGATGTGATATTGCTTACAAGACTGCTAAACGGTGGCGAATGCAAGTTATAGGAAGTAGGGAAAGTGACCGGTGCACAAAAGACATAATATATATATATATATATATATATATATATATATATATATATATATATATATATATATATATATATATATATATATACATATATATATGTCTAATGGTAGAGCGTTTTGCTGCCGACCCGAAGGTCACGAGGTCGGATCTCGGTTGAAGGTCTTTTGACTTATGATGTTCTTGAGTCCACCCGTATATAATGGGTACCTGACTTAAGTTAGAGAAACAAAGGTGGCTGAGCATAATGTTGATCACATTATCCCTTTGTTGGCCGAAGTTATAAAAACAGAGGGACTCTACTGCTTCTACCCCATGTGTCTTAGACACGAATGGTAACATTGGACGCTGAATAATAATAAATCAGTACTGTTTTCGACAGTAGGGTATGTAGCCTAGCACTTCTCTACCGGGAATATAGGCTTTAGTATAGTATGACTAGACGTATAATCATTAAGGTCTGGTGACTAATTGTCAATACAACCCTGCTCTTGATTTACGCTACGACAGAGCTGTTTTTAGATAACATAAGGAAATAGCGCTAAAATTGTCACTAGACTTTTTTTAATTACTTGTTTTCGCCATTGGCTTTTTAATTCGATGATTACTTTAGAATCAATGACGTCATATTAGTGTGTGTACTTTTCCAGCTTTAGAACTGTAGCTATTTCATTTCGTTTTGAAAAATTTCCTATGTGCACCATGTAACGTCACGATCTTTCATTATTCATCTTTTAAATGTCCTTGTGTTTTCTCTAAAGCGTTCCGGACAGACAGAATAGCGAAACTTGTGTAGTGATACTTTGTTGTCTGTTGTTTTGTTGTTTTTTTTTCTCTTGGATGAGGGGAGATCATTTGAGAAATTCTTCTGTAAATCTTGGCAGTTAAGATTCAAAGTGCAGACTGGTTGAGCCTGTTGTGTAGCGGGAGGGGATGGTGAAATGTATTGATCAGTTTAAATAAACCGGGAGTGATCTCCCCTAAACTTTCTCGCATATTCTTATAAAACTTGAAATATAGACATGATTTTTAATTACTTAAACTTTTAAAAATAGAATAAAATCTCATAGAAAAAAGAATTGCGCACCAAGCGAACGCCAAAACAAAATGTGCATAATAGTGCGCAATATTATTAGTACTTTATAAATTTACATGCGTTTTTTGATAAATCGAAAATAGCGTAAATTAGTACTTCCGATAAACGGAAATTATTCAAAATTTGACAGAAGGTAGAGAATTAGATTTTTAACTCACATGTGAAATTTCATTTATCTATCTGAAATAGTTCTCAAGTTATAGGCTTTTTAAAAATTCAAAGTAGAAAAGTACCACTTCCGGTTATCGGAAATCGCTCAAAAGTTGATACGATTTTGATAAAATACCTATATATGAAATTTCATCAGCCTAGCTGTAACGGTACTCAAGATATCGTGTTTACACACAGACAGACAGACACACATACACACAGACATACGGACAAGATTGCAAAATTATGTTTTTCCGTATCAGTGAGGTGTAAAACGTCGAGATTTGTAAAAATCTCGATTTTTTTTTCACACGATTACAAGACTTTCTCTATACGAGAAAGTGAAAATGATTAGCTGAATACGACATTTTTTGTTCAATAAGCCATCATTGTTTTAGCATACGCTAGCACACTAAACGACTTTAATAATAAGTAAAATTGTATAGTTTATAACTTATTAAAGTTAGATTCTTATTAATAATAACAGTTCTACAACACAATAACGGTTATCTTTAACCTATTGATAATATATCCATATTCTACTAAAACTCGAGTTTGTTTACAAGTTTATATATTTATTTATTTTTGTTTGTTTGTTTGTTCCGTTAGATGAGAGCATCTGCATTATGTGTAGAACTGTATAATACGTATTTATGTAGAGAATAATGTTCTTTTTTCCCAAACTTTTAAACAGAAATTGATTTAAAGGAGTTAATTACCCCCTTAAGCTAACGCAAATGTATTGTTTGTTTTAAAAGTCAGTCATCGTCTTCAGTTTGTTGTGTCCAACCCTATCCATTTCTGAGTTCTCCGTGTGTTGGTGGTGAAAATGGACGAACAAATCTATAAGTACTTTATTTTGTTTAAATCTGAATTAATATCATTAAACATTAATTAACTAATAAGTTAATTCTATCAATGTCCATGTATTAGTGGATCTTTTTTGGATCTTGGCCTGCTTGTTAAAATTGAAAAAAAAAATCAGTTCAGGTGAAGTGGGTGAAAGTTTTATCGCTAGTTTCTACAACGATGGACGGCCAACAGATAGAACCGGTATCCCAAGTTAATAAAAGATTGTAAAAATATCGGCACGATTGACGTTGGTGGACGTCTTTTCTTTACTGCCTCCCCACCGCATGTTGGTTTGACCAATCGCTATAAGGCCTTGTTGCGACGTCGTACTTTAACTCCAGTACCTAATCTGTTAGTCACTTTACGATTTCTTAACAGATTTTAACATTACGATTAACATATCTTAAAGCAGTATTCTGTGATCATGAATGAAACTAATCTTCACAATTGAATATGTTTGATAAAAAAATAATTAATTTTAACTTTCATTAATGAGTATAATTTTCACTACTATTGGTTTTTATTGTGACACTAAGAGCACTTAAAACTTTACCTTCGACTACAAAATTAAGATGATTACCAATGTAATCGTCGTGATTTGTGTGTGTTTCTTTACATGTGTACAGGCACGTAAGTAGATTAATATCAGTATGATCTACTGGTATAAAAATTAATGGTGTTTCTGCCTTTACATTTGTTAACTACTTCAGGGAAAATTTATAATGAAATATTGAAAATATCGGTTTATTTAGAATCTATTAGGGTTCGTACACTAATAAAGTGCGTGACCACAATTACTTTTTTAAATGTGATTCAACCTGTAATTTGTTTATACCATCTGTAATGTATGTATACAACATATACTAGTATATACTTAACACTGTGATAGCACGACAGTAATGATTAAGAATTAGGTCTATATATTACGTTCAAATTTTCACTAACATATCTTAATATGAGAAAATGTGTTTAACCACTTAAGTTTAAAAAGTAAAAAAGTAAAGGACCCTATTTAGACATAGAAATCCAATAGGCAGATGAAGTAGAGTTCATATATTTCTTGACCTCGGCATATGAAACGAAGTTGTGATAGCACTATGCCCAGCCGCCTTTACTTTCCCTAACATGGACATTCTACTGACTTGGAACCTGGATTCGAACTCGAGACCTTCGGGTTAGCTTGACGCTCTACCCATTAGCGACGTCCCATTTAAATTTAGCTGTGATAAATTGTTATAACTATGACGTGTTTCATTATAAAAATAAAAATGTTTCCACAGGAGTTAAGGTTTTATACCATATAGATATATGTATATATATATATATATATATATATATATATATATATATATATATATATATATATATGTATGTATTCGAATAAACATTGTGATATGATCAAAAAATGATTTGTTTAGAATGCTGCAAAAGTCAGCACATTTGTTTGATGGCTTTCATCAACAGTGAGGAGTCAAATGATGGAATCTGTCGGTAAAATGTTCTGCTCATTTTGTCTATCTAGACTCTAGAGGCTTATGTTAACTCTTTCATAACTTAATTTGACCAGCTTCTAATGCAGCTATTTCCGGGTAAATTTATTTCAGATGCCAATGCAGAAATATCTAATTTTAAAATTACGTAGATGTTGAATTCACCATCATTATCCTTTCCCGTTCGTGCCCGAGACTCAAGGGGCAGATGAAGTAGAGTTCATCTGTTTTAGAGACATTGGCATATGAAGGGATAGTATGGTCAGCCATATGCCCAGCAGCTTTTTGTCCTAACGGATTTCAACTCGACACTTTCGGGTTAGAAATCTAGATCTCTTCTTTTACACCGCCCCATCACATGGATGTTGATTTGTATTTTTTTTAAATGTCTAAGTATAACATAAAAGAAAGTAGAAAAAAAATTAAAGCCTGTCTAACAAGTTTTTAAAAGTCGTAAATTTAAATAAAGCAAACTCAAAACAGATATTCAACATTCTTAGATAGATCTTGTTTAGTGAAGTAATGTCGTAAAAAGCTCATTACACAGGGTGTAAATACATGCTGAATTTCCAATGGCTTGCAGCGGAATCAGCGGGTATTTCAAATGTTCCGTCAACATAGAGAACACCGAGGCAGCGGAGTTCAAATACATACTAGAACTTTTGATGGAAGAGGCGGAAGTGTTCCCTAACAACTGCTGTAAGCATCATCTTTACAACATATTCGTTTGATTTCATTTGAATGATTATTATATTGATGGAAGAAACGGAATTGTTCCCGAAAAATTGCTGTGAGCATCATCTTTACATAACACACATTCGTTTGATTTCATTTTAATGATAATATGTCAGGTGCGAAATTGTAACTTTTATTATTTATTTTATTTAACCTCAGGATAAATCAGGTAAACTAAACTACACACACACACGCACAAACCTATTATACATATATACATATATATATATATATACTAGGCATGCTGCCCAGCTTCGCTTAGGCTTTCGAAAACATTGAGAATTTGAGTGCTTAATTAATTCGCCCTAGGGTCGGTCTACGACCTCAAGAGTTATGAAGAGGTTCCTCCGTGGACATTTTTTTTTCGATTTATAGCTCATATAAGGCACCGGTCAGTCGAGGTCAGTTTTGACCCCCTCATCGTAGACTTTTCGGCCAACCGGCCCCCGTGTTCTGTCGCCCCAAGGCAAGATCCTGCCAAATTTGAAGCGCCTGCGGAGCCGGGAAGTGCCCTATCGGACACCCGACAATCTAGATCTAGATCTAGAATCCTAATAGAATTTTTTTTTTAAGTTTAGCCCGAGCATAATAAAAAAAATACATTAACCAAGTTGACTTGGTGTGTCTCGAACCCGCACCACCTGCGTGGTTTATAGTACACTAACATCTCCGCTATTGAGGCACCTTTTAAAATACGGAGAATGAAACACGTATTTTAAAATCTTAACTTACGCGAATATGCCTATTCTTTCAAATTAATTTTTTTTATCCCAAATTAGCCAGTTCCAAACAAAGATTTTGTATAAAATAAATAAGTCTTGAAATAGTTTAGTCCTAATATAGAAATTTATTTTTGGAATAGATTTTAGAGAAGTTAGAGTCTAAATCTAGATCTTAGCGTCTACGTCTAGTTATTGCGTAGATTTAGATTTAGTCTAGATCTAGAATCTCTATATCTAGAATCCAAATAAATTAAATAAATTTTATGAGTTTAGGCCGGAAAAATTGTATTCTATACATTTCATAGTGTACGTAGATCTAAATCAAATTTGAATGAAATAGTTCATTTCTTTTTATTGTAAACACGGCAGATGACGTCATTAGTTAATGTATAAACATTAGTGACGTCACAGTTTTATGCGTTCTTTTTCACATCTATAAATGATTTTCCGGTTGCATAAATAATACTGTTTCTCTACATTCGAATACGCCTTTATTTATTATTTTTCTTCTTTAAATAAAATTGTGGTTATACATTTAAAACATCTAACATATTATTTTCAACAAAAGTCCGTATAAAGGTATCCATATATCGCTGCCGATTCTGACGTGATGTCCGGCGAAAATATTTTGCGGACAGAGAGAGAGAAGAGCGCACATGGGCTTTTATATATTAGGATATATATATATATATATATATATATATATATATATATATATATATATATATATATATATATATATATATGTTTTATCTACAGCTGTTGACAGTGAGCTCTCGTTGTTTCTAAGTAAGTCATATCACTTGTTTTTTACAAATCTGTTTATTTATTAATATGATAAGTCTGATATTAATTTACTTATATAAATATGGTATTGATATTGACAATGCTTAAATGTAAGAAAGAAAGAAGCCTAAATTATAAATATTCTTATTGAAGAATTCGATATTTACTTAGAGTAATCATTAGAATAGCGAGTACAGTAATTAAACAAAACAAAAAAAAAACGCCTAACTTACTTAATCCACAACGATTAAAGTTTCATTAGTGAGTCGTATAGGTACCAGAGTACATAAAGTGAACATGTTTATCACAAGAGTGTTTATCTGTGAATTTTTTTTCAATCGTCTACAAAATTAAAAATAACCCGCTATTTTCAGACGAAGCGCCGGAGTATTTGTCTGAGATGCAACCGAAGAGCACACATCAACGTAAGTACATTCGTTAGTCGTCCGCACGGACTAAGTCCGATCGTGAATCATATAATTCGGGTTTGTGTCTTGACCTCCGCTGAACCCCTGAGACTGACTCATGGAATCCCTGGCCTTCGATCAAACTCAGGTTATGAACTACTGGTCTAATGTGTCATCGTGCAGTGGTTTTCAATTTAGGTTCTTTTTTTTTTTGTTATAATGTCTAAAAACAGTATAAGCTTACTATTTTAAATTCAATAAAATAAAAAACTGTACTTTTTTTATATGATGAGCATCAGTAGTCACCAGCTAATATAATTGTTCCATTCTGTTAAATATAATCACAGCACAGTTTGACAACCATCTCTCAACCTGAAAGATAAAAAAAAAACTCAAAAATTACCACACTTGATGTTTGTTGTTTCAGAATATTTTTTACCCACTCTTTCAAACAGAAAATCTGTATTTCAGGATATCCTGTCACAGCCAATGTTTGTTTAACTACCTATCTGGAGACATTGGGGGCTTACTTTAACAATCCGTCGCTAATTTGTCAGTAAGTTTGTCAACATATGGACTTGTGTGTGTGTGTATGAAACGTAAAAAAAAATCAATAGTTTAATTCTATAATATGCCGCTAGGTAGTGTGTCAGTCCTTCCTTCTTTCATTCCGTCATCGGTTTCAATATTGAAATAATTTTCTTTTTTTTTTTTTTTTTTGCTTTTTTCATTAGACTATTTGAAACCTAGTTGAGTTAATAAATGTTATAAGTAGCTTTCGAAATTATATAAACAGTGACATTACTATCCAATGAGAGTAATTGGTGAGACTAATCATAGAAATGTGTCATAAAGAACCCCATTAAAACATTGCCGCTAGACTGCCATGGTTAAAGTAAAACTGATTTAAAAAGTGTTCATTAAATTATTTTGTTTTTTGATACTAGACTAATTCTCCACACCGTTTATATTTAAGGGCACTCTCGGCATTTCTCTACTGTAACCAAGTGACGCTAAACGAACCAATGGAAACAGTGAATGACGTCATAGCCGTGTTTAAAGAAGAGCTCTCCAAATTTCAATTAAATTGTGGTTTGTTCATTTGATCACTACACACGTTATACAACACCTTTCCGACACGACATCATTTGGGACCCTGGGGCCTTAAACTTTATTTTGTGTTGTAAAAATGAAAAGTAATTTTTAAAATACAAAACTTTATAATTACAATGATAGAAATTATGAAATACTTACAACAATGGAACGATGCGGCAGAATGCACATATGTCAGAACAATATTACTTCTCGCATTTTTATTTGGAATAAAATGTGTTCAAATATCGTGTGTACAAAAGTGAACATTGTGTCCAAAGGTGTTAAACTGTGTTTAAAAATATGTACAAAAAAAATCACGTAATTTTTATTTAAATTTTAAAACACTTGTCTTTGGTGTAAATAAATTAACAAAAATTTAAATGTCGACCAATTCCCACCTAAGCAGTTATGAAGAATTGTAACATCCGACAATTTATACCTTTGCAGAAATTACCAGCGAACTCATCACAACGTGTAAGTGTTTAAGAAAAGTTTGGCACCCTGAAAGATTTTACTGTAATACATTTTCAATGAAGGAATATAACATACACGTATCGAAACGGATAAAGCTTATCCATTATAAACAACCACGGCTAGTGGCGGACAGGTATAGGCATTGAGCTACACAAGCAAAAGTCGCTATCCCCAAATGAAGTCAGGTACTCGTTTAAGCCTGCTGGACACAGGAAGAGGAGGAATAACTATTATATGGTTGTTGCTAAATCATTAGTATATGCAGTGGTGTAGCGAGGTCGGGTGTCACCCGGTGCGGCACTTAATGGTGTCACCCCCCCCCCAGAGGCGTAGCGACCCTCCCTTCCGGGGGACAAACTTTCAAACTTTTGATTTGCACCCCCCCCCTCAAACTTTCGATTTTGCACCCCCCCCCCCCCACCTCAAGCTTTTGATTTGCACCCCCCTCAAATTTTTCTATATATATTTTGCTATTTTTTGCCTTGGTGTCACCCCCCCTAAATGGTGTCACCCGGTGCGGTCCGCACCCCCGCCCCCCCCCCCCCCTCGCTACGCCTCTGAGTATATGGCCGTTAGTTTTGGTCATTTATTACTCTACACATTTTTATCTTTTTACAAGTTTTTATCTAATGTGATTCCTCTTTCTGTTAAGCTTTTGTTTGTCCGTCATGGGCAGAAAATTGCGAGAGAAATTTGTATCATTTCTACAGGACTATTTTCTTTCAAACTTAGGATATATGTCAAGATACTGTGATATAATTTAAATTTATCAGATTGTTATTTAATTATTTAAATTAATGTTTCCTTTATAGAGTAGGCCTTCTACTTTTCCTATCTATTATACACTCACTGTTTGCGTTTATTTGTTGCGCAATTCTATTCTATATTTTTTAAAATAAAATTACAACATAAATTAATAAAATACAATCATGTTTTTTTTTCTTTTTAGTGCGTAATTAGATAAAAGCTTGTCATTAAAACGTTTTTTTAAATTCATTTTTACATTCATTCTTGGATAAAAAATAAAAAATATTTAATTCTAACATTAATTATGTTAATACACATTAATCAATAATTTTTTTTTTCAATCTATCTAACCCAGCGTGTGAGACGGCAACCAATGCATGCCTAGTTGGATATTTTCATACAGTTTTACATAGTGAGTTTAGTAATAAACCAACCTGGACTTGTCCGTAAGTTGATCAACGTTTGTGTACATTCCAACTATACATCATTTTTAAAAATGAGATATAATTAACACCGTAATTAATCAAACCCATTGTATAGCAATATCATATATGTACTCATTTACTTTGTTTTAATTTTTGTAAATTTTTGTAAAGGTAAAGAAAATGGAAACGTGTTATTTATCTATTCGTATAATAGTTGTATTTTCAATTAGCATTGACCAATTGTGCTTGACCATGGGGCATAACAAGTAATGTGTGAAGTATTTTCAGTTCAGATGCATCGAAGTCATTATTTTGAGTACGGTCTTTACTAATAAAATATGTTCAGCATTATATGATTTAAATAAGATATTAGAGATTTAATGTTATTTTATTGTGTTTTAGATACCTGCAGTATTTCACTCAATGTTTAGTACGAACTACATGCAGCATAGATAAAGTGACAGATATGGTAAGTAAAGTTTTTAATTTAGTTGTGTGAATAACTCCATGTTTGGAGGTATGCTACTGTATTAACCCTGCGTCTGAACTACATACACATTTGATGTACTTGGATTTGGGCGATTGTATTCTGACTAAAACTACACTTAATTTAAATATATTTTCTTATTTCTCTCTCTCTCTATCCCCCCTCTCTCTCTCTCTCTCTCTCTCTCTCTCTCTCTCTCTCTCTCTTTATATATATATATATATATATATATATATATATATATATATATATATATATATATATATATAACGCAGTGTGTTTTATGTATGGGAAGCTTCCTGTAGTGAGTGGGGGGGGGAGGGGGGGGGGGGGTTGAGATGTACTTAAGGATAGGAATATTAGCTCCATTTCAGAACAATTTTCTAGACTTAAAAAAATTAAATTGATATGCAAAACTCACATCTGTACCGAATTAAAGTTCGAAAACGTCCTAATTAATGAACACAATGTTGATGAATATTGACAGATAAGGCTTGTGGGAGAATTCGAAAGTCAACGCATTGGATATCATTGTGGTAGGTAAATGATTGTGGTAGGTAAATGATTGTGGTAGTTAAATGATTGTGGTAGGTAAATGACTGTTATAGGTAAAATGATTGTTGTAGTTAAATGAGTTTGGTAGGTAAAGGATTGTGGTAGGTATTTGATTGTGGTAGGTAAATGATTGTGGTAGTTTTAAAGAGTGTGGTATGTAAATTATTGTAGTAGGTAAAGGATTATGTTAGCTAAATAACTGTAGTGTGCAAATGATAGTGGTAGTTAAATGATTGTGGTAGGTAAATGATTGTAGTATGTAAATGATTATGATAGGTAAATGAGTGTTGTATGTGAATGATTGTGGTACGTTAATTAATGTCAATAGTTCATGTCAATAGTTCCGTCTCAATGGTTTTTTTTTTTACTGAGAACAGTTTTTACTGAAAACATTTTTATTGTATAAAAAATCGAGAAGATTTGATTTCTTGTTTCAGACACTTTTAAGGCGTCACAAGTTACAAGCTCGAAGCCAATAATTTGTAAGAAACTAGTACATACAAGCACACGTTTATAAAGCTTAAAAAGTTACCCGGATTTTTAAATGTGTTATCTTAATTCTTGAGACGTTTTTTCATACTGTTTATATTTTATTAAATAAACAAAATAAATAAAAGAATTCGCGAAAATTACTTACAGTGAGGGTAATAAAAATAGAAAAATACATTAAGCAGGTTTTTATATTGTGACGTTTTTATCTAACAGAATGTTTCGCTGTTGTTTTTTTAGGGCGTTTGGCTGAGGTAATATCCGGACCGTACCAAGTAGCTTTATCTGCAACTGTCAATGTTCTGTTACAAGATTAGTCTAGTGCTAGTACAACACAGCGGAACTCTAAAAAAATATTGTGCTGTTTTTTTTTCGATACTTGTAAAAATTTGTCGATTACTTCATTAAAAATACGAATTGTGTTTAGTTTGATTGTATCTTGATTTATTATAGGGTAAAAAAAAAACACACATCATTGAAAGAATTGGTGGAATTAATGATGTGTTTTATATTATTGTTAACTTAAAATACCAGTTTAACCATTCGCCAATATAAATTTTAAAAAGCTGGAGTGATCTCCCCTAAACTTTCTCGAATATTCTTATATAACACTACGGGGTATATAAACATGTTTTTTAATTATTTTTTACATACATTTAATACATAATAGAATCTCGATGAAAAACGAATTGCGCACCAAGTGAACTGCAAACAATACTTGTATAACAGTGTGGAATATTATTGCTTTATGAATTAGAATGTAGTTTTTGAGAAATCAGAAATAGCGTAAAAAAATACTTCCGGTTAACGGAAATAACTTAAAATTGAAAAGAAAACGGAAAATTAGCTTTTTTACTTAAATGTGAAATTTCATCTATCTATCAGGAATAGTTCTCAAGTTATAGGCTTTTGAAAAATTGAAAGTAGAATATTTTCCACTTTCTGTTATCGGAAATCGCTGAAAATATGACTCAGAACTACACATTAATAATTATATATGAAATTTCATCGACCTTGCTGTAACAGTACTCAAGTTATCGTGTTCACAGACACACAGACACACAAACAGACATAAAGACAAGATTGCAAAATTATGTTTTTCGGACTCAGGGAGGTCTAAAACGTCGAGATTTGTGAAAATCTCGATTTCGATTTTTAGCATGATTACAATACTTCCTATATACTCCGTATACAAGAATGTAAACAACTAAAACAAACTGCAACAAGATACATGAAGGTGAATTTAACATCGATTACCCTACTGAAAGTTAATAAATAAGTAACAATTCACAAAGTATTGTAGGTAAATTGTAGCGAGTGTACCAAATATTAAAAGGATTATCTTGTGCACAAAATGAAATTGCAGACCCCTTGTCTGTGTACGCCTTGTGTAATCTTTTAATCTGCTTCAGATTACATTTGCTAACCCCATGTCGTGTCAATAAAAACCCCACAAGTCATCTGACACTGACAGGTGTCATCAAGGTACGAAGACTGAAACTCGAGCCTTATCTGATATACGAGACGCATTGCTTACCCGTGCTACGCTGCTGTGTAGAACTATATTGTTACTGTTTTGTGGAGGACAGAAAAATACAAAGAGGCTCCATGTACATGATACTTGTTTGTGTTTTTTTCTTTTTTTTTTTTTTTTGTTTAACTTCCATACATTTTACAACAGTCAGTGCATTGCAATTTAAAGTCAATGTTCCCACACATAACTCAATAAACGCACAGGTCTAAAGTCTGTTTGCTTTGGATATTAGATTACAATAAAGCTTGTATTTAAAAAAAAAAAAAGTTTTTATCTCCCCCTGTCACAAATATTGTTACTTTAAATCAAGTTTTAATTTTTACGGCGGTTTAAATTACAGAGGTATCTAGAGGCTATAGGGGAGCAGGGGGTGGTCACTGTATCTCTACAAAATTGAAAAATGTCAATAAACTACGTGTAATGCACTTGTAAATTGTGTCAGCCTACTTGAGTAGAATTAGGATAGTGCTAAGGGATTAAGTAACAGGGGGTGGGGGGGGGGGAGGGGGAGGGCAATTGGAAAAGCTTAGGTTAGGTTAGTTTAGGTTAGGTTAGGTTAGGTTAGTTTAGGTTAGGTTACGTTAGGTTAGGTTACGTTAGGTTAGGTTACGTTAGGTTAGGTTACGTTAGGTTAGGTTACGTTAGGTTAGGTTACGTTAGGTTAGGTTACGTTAGGTTAGGTTACGTTAGGTGTGGTTACGTTAGGTGTGGTTACGTTAGATGTGGTTAGTTTAGGTTAAGTTAGGTTAGGTTAAGGTTAGGTTAGGTTAAGGTTAGGTTAAGGTTAGGTTAAGGTTAGGTTAAGGTTAGGTTAAGGTTAGGTTAAGGTTAGGTTAAGGTTAGGTTAAGGTTAGGTTAAGGTTAGGTTAAGGTTAGGTTAAGGTTAGGTTAAGGTTAGGTTAAGGTTAGGTTAAGGTTAGGTTAAGGTTAGGTTAAGGTTAGGTTAAGGTTAGGTTAAGGTTAGGTTAAGGTTAGGTTAAGGTTACGTTAAGGTTAGGTTAAGGTTAGGTTAAAGTTAGGTTAAGGTTAGGTTAAGGTTAGGTTAAGGTTAGGTTAAGGTTAGGTTAAGGTTAGGTTAAGGTTAGGTTAAGGTTAGGTTAAGGTTAGGTTAAGGTTAGGTTAAGGTTAGGTTAAGGTTAGGTTAAGGTTATGTTAAGGTTAGGTTAAGGTTAGGTTAAGGTTAGGTTAAGGTTAGGTTAAGGTTAGGTTAAGGTTAGGTTAAGGTTAGGTTAAGGTTAGGTTAAGGTTAGGTTAAGGTTAGGTTAAGGTTAGGTTAAGGTTAGGTTAAGGTTAGGTTAAGGTTAGGTTAAGGTTAGGTTAAGGTTAGGTTAAGGTTAGGTTAAGGTTAGGTTAAGGTTAGGTTAAGGTTAGGTTAAGGTTAGGTTAAGGTTAGGTTAAGGTTAGGTTAAGGTTAGGTTAAGGTTAGGTTAAGGTTAGGTTAAGGTTAGGTTAAGGTTAGGTTAAGGTTAGGTTAAGGTTAGGTTAAGGTTAGGTTAAGGTTAGGTTAAGGTTAGGTTAAGGTTAGGTTAAGGTTAGGTTAAGGTTAGGTTAAGGTTAGGTTAAGGTTAGGTTAAGGTTAGGTTAAGGTTAGGTTAAGGTTAGGTTAAGGTTAGGTTAAGGTTAGTGTGATGACGCAAGATTACGTCAGACATGTTTAGCAGATATAGGTTAGCAGAAACAGACTATAGGCCTAGTTGGTTGGTTAGAGAGGCCAATGGGCGCACAGGGCTGACCGGTCACGTGGGACGGTCAGCTGACCACTGAGGCGTGGAGCAGTAGAGCGATAGGCCAGGAGTTGTTAGGTAGCGGTCAGAGACGGCCGAGGAATGTAGATAGTTAGGTAGATCATGATTAGCTAGCGAGGTAGAAGGTGTTAGATTGTAGAATGTAGAGAACGGTAGTTAGTGTTAGGATTGATCATGGGAGTACGTAGTTAGTGGTATAATGAACAGTCAGTAGTAGAAGTAAATAGTACAGTGTAGATCAGTTAGGTAGAAACTTGAACATAAATATCATTTTAATAAAGAACAATTATATTCGAACTGGAACCTGTGTTGGATATTTCCATCATCATCATCATTCATTCCTTCTTTAAAACACCTGTACCCTCACAGTTAGGTTAAGGTTAGGTTAAGGTTAGGTTAAGGTTAGGTTAAGGTTAGGTTAAGGTTAGGTTAAGGTTAGGTTAAGGTTAGGTTAAGGTTAGGTTAAGGTTAGGTTAAGGTTAGGTTAAGGTTAGGTTAAGGTTAGGTTAAGGTTAGGTTAAGGTTAGGTTAAGGTTAGGTTAAGGTTAGGTTAAGGTTAGGTTAAGGTTAGGTTAAGGTTAGGTTAAGGTTAGGTTAAGGTTAGGTTAAGGTTAGGTTAAGGTTAGGTTAAGGTTAGGTTAAGGTTAGGTTAAGGTTAGGTTAAGGTTAGGTTAAGGTTAGGTTAAGGTTAGGTTAAGGTTAGGTTAAGGTTAGGTTAAGGTTAGGTTAAGGTTAGGTTAAGGTTAGGTTAAGGTTAGGTTAAGGTTAGGTTAAGGTTAGGTTAAGGTTAGGTTAAGGTTAGGTTAAGGTTAGGTTAAGGTTAGGTTAAGGTTAGGTTAAGGTTAGGTTAAGGTTAGGTTAAGGTTAGGTTAAGGTTAGGTTAAGGTTAGGTTAAGGTTAGGTTAAGGTTAGGTTAAGGTTAGTGTGATGACGCAAGATTACGTCAGACATGTTTAGCAGATATAGGTTAGCAGAAACAGACTATAGGCCTAGTTGGTTGGTTAGAGAGGCCAATGGGCGCACAGGGCTGACCGGTCACGTGGGACGGTCAGCTGACCACTGAGGCGTGGAGCAGTAGAGCGATAGGCCAGGAGTTGTTAGGTAGCGGTCAGAGACGGCCGAGGAATGTAGATAGTTAGGTAGATCATGATTAGCTAGCGAGGTAGAAGGTGTTAGATTGTAGAATGTAGAGAACGGTAGTTAGTGTTAGGATTGATCATGGGAGTACGTAGTTAGTGGTATAATGAACAGTCAGTAGTAGAAGTAAATAGTACAGTGTAGATCAGTTAGGTAGAAACTTGAACATAAATATCATTTTAATAAAGAACAATTATATTTGAACTGGAACCTGTAATGAACAGTCAGTAGTAGAAGTAAATAGTACAGTGTAGATCAGTTAGGTAGAAACTTGAACATAAATATCATTTTAATAAAGAACAATTATATTTGAACTGGAACCTGTGTTGGATATTTCCATCATCATCATCATTCATTCCTTCTTTAAAACACCTGTACCCTCACATCTGGTGGAGCGCGGGTCGAGTAAGGGAAAGAACGTATATCAGCTAGGTTAGGTTAAGGTTAGGTTAAGGTTAGGTTAAGGTTAGGTTAAGGTTAGGTTAAGGTTAGGTTAAGGTTAGGTTAAGGTTAGGTTAAGGTTAGGTTAAGGTTAGGTTAAGGTTAGGTTAAGGTTAGGTTAAGGTTAGGTTAAGGTTAGGTTAAGGTTAGGTTAAGGTTAGGTTAAGGTTAGGTTAAGGTTAGGTTAAGGTTAGGTTAAGGTTAGGTTAAGGTTAGGTTAAGGTTAGGTTAAGGTTAGGTTAAGGTTAGGTTAAGGTTAGGTTAAGGTTAGGTTAAGGTTAGGTTAAGGTTAGGTTAAGGTTAGGTTAAGGTTAGGTTAAGGTTAGGTTAAGGTTAGGTTAAGGTTAGGTTAAGGTTAGGTTAAGGTTAGGTTAAGGTTAGGTTAAGGTTAGGTTAAGGTTAGGTTAAGGTTAGGTTAAGGTTAGGTTAAGGTTAGGTTAAGGTTAGGTTAAGGTTAGGTTAAGGTTAGGTTAAGGTTAGGTTAAGGTTAGGTTAAGGTTAGGTTAAGGTTAGGTTAAGGTTAGGTTAAGGTTAGGTTAAGGTTAGGTTAAGGTTAGGTTAAGGTTAGG